TTCTATCAATTGCTCGATAGTAATTTGTTCACCCACCGTAATACTTATGCTATCTTGAGAGAAGCCACTAGTGAAACCTATGGTCCCCGGGTCTATCTTTTATCATATAAGCTTTCAATCTACTTTTATTTGCATCTTTACTTTTCCAATCTATATTATAAAATACCAAAAAAATATTTATCTTATCATATTATCTCTATCAGATCTCACTTTCGCAAGTGGCCGTGAAGGGATTGACAACCCCTTTATTGCGTTGGTTGCGAGTTTTTGTTTGTTTGTGTAGGTGCATGGGACTTTTGAGGAGCCTCCTACTGGATTGATACCTTGGTTCTCAAAAACTGAGGGAAATACTTACGCTACTATTGTTGCATCATCCTTTCCTCTTCAAGGAAAACCAACGCAAGCTCAAGACGTAGCAGTCCACCTGCCACGCGGGACTTAGTGGGCTGAACAAGGGTGGGAACCAGCCCCCTAGGGGGCTGGTGCGCCCCCCTAGGGCCCAAGGCGCCTATGGTTGAAAATCCTAGGGGGTGGGGGCGCCTCCCACCAACTTGGGGGGCAAGCTCCCCCCCCCTTGCCCCCCTAGATGAGATCTAAGGGGGCCGGCCCCCTCTCCCCTTACCCCTATAAATAGTGGGGGTGGGAGGGCTGCCATACCCTTCCCCTGGCGCAGCCCTCTCCCTCCCCAACACCTCCTCCTCCATAGTAGTGCTTGGCGAATCCCTGTCGGAGAACTGCAAGACTCCTCCACCATGTCGTCGTGCTGCCGGAGCTCTCCCTCAACTTCTCCTCTCCCCTTGCTGGATCAAGAAGGAGGAGCCGTCCCCGGGTTGTACGTGTGTTGAACACGGAGGCACCGTCCATTCGGCGTTAGATCGGATCTTCCGCGATTTGAATCGCCACGAGTACGACTCCCTCATCCGTGTTCTAGTGACGCTTTCGCTTAGCGATCTTCAAAGGTATGAAGATGCTCATCTTCTCCCTCTCTTGTTGCTAGAATCTCCATAGATTGATCTTGGTGATGTGTAGAAAATTTTGAATTATTGCTACGTTCCCCAACAGTAAGTTTCTGGTCTTTTGTAAAAAAAATATCAGGCAAATTTATGTGAATTAACATTGACTCTAGATACCTAGAAAATCTTCGCATCAGCGGACAACTCCCGCAAGAAATTTTCAGGCTTCCTTTAATTCAGACACTGTGATGGCTTGCTACTTGCTAGTTGATTTAATGTACAAGTACATATGATTATCATACAATTATCGATATTCAATTAAACTGTTACTAGTTGGCAATTTCAGGAAGCTTCGGGGCAACTGCTTCAACGGCACCCTAAATATTGGTCGGACTTCAGAACTCAGCTCCAAACAATTGATTTGTGTAAAGTGCATGCTCTAGCTAATACAACCAAAAGACCGATCTCATGGAAGAGACTAGGCAATACATTTATACGTCAACAATCCACCTCACGTGTGGCTCCCTCAGGCCTAAACGTGGATCAAAAATGGGCTGCAATTTAATTGCGCTAGTCGGGTCTTAAAATCAAGACCTCTTGGCTCTGATACCATGTAAAGTGCATGCTCTAGCCAATGCAACCAAAAGACCGATCTAATGGAAGAGACTAGGCAATACATTTATACGTTAACAATTTGCAGGATAATCAGATCGAAAAGATCACTATTGGGGGAACCCAACACAACAAGAAACTCATGTAAAGACACTCTGCATTACACAACTTGAGGTTCCTTGACGGATTAAAGTTTTCATGTATGTCCACGTCGCGCGCTTTTAGGAAATCCAATATGCAACACAGGGAACGATCAGTACTGCAAAATCACGGGACAGTCTAACCCCGATGCGCCACCATATGCTACCAAAAGGAACTATTTTGGGCTGCCATCTGCATGCCTCTAGAGCCAGCTTCTGAGCCCAAGCTGCGTGTGGTCTGTGTCGTACAAGGGCATATGTCCTTCAGAACACCATCATTTTCTGACCTCAACAATGAGTCGTACTATCTTCTACTCCCTCCGTTCCTAAATATTTTTCTTTTGAGATATTTTAACAAGTGACTACATATGGAGCAAAGGAGGATGTTCTTCTCCTGCTTTTCTAGAGTTGGGTTCCTTTGCTCTTTGTCTTCTTTTTTGACTTTGTCGTTTCATTTCCTAACCTCATTGACATGTTCGCCATGACATTGTGCTTGGACTTCTGGTTGATTACATTTGGACTTGTTGACTAGTTTGGACTTTTGGTTGATTGTTTTTGGTCTTGTTGAGTATCTTGGGTTTCATTAGGCGTCCACGGAGGACAAGGAACTCTAAGGATGTGTTTGGTTGCCCGCACCGATTTTGGAGTCTTTGCATATACTTCTTAGATGGGCCTGGCTGATGAAAAACAACCTATAAACCACCAAGTGCACATTGTTTGGTTGCTCACATATAGGCTAGCTGCATGAGGGAACTAATTTTGACCCTCTATTTGGCTGGCCGCATAGCATTAAGCGCACATAGGACACATTGTTTGGTTGCAACTTGCATTTGGTGTTGTCACCACTTCTCACTAGTGGTGACCTTACCACACACGATTAACAACTCCACTCCTAACTACAAAAGAAATTACGGTTCCTCCTAGCTACTATCAAATGGCAGTACACATTATTAAGAGCCAAATGGCTTAATGCGGAAAGTTCATATCCCTCGTCTTCCTCGTTATCTTACCTCTTCTGTTGCTGTTGTTCCTCTTCGTCTTCCTCTTCTGATGCTGCTGCTCTTGCTCTTCTTCTAATTCTTCTTCTTCAGATCCTTGTCTGACCTCTGTTATCCCACATTGCATGTGCCCACTCCAGCCATTTGTTCTTCCAGGCTTTGTTGTCAAATGCCTTAACACCATGGCCACCAAGATCAAGATCGTCAGGCTTCACCTCTTCCTCCTTAGGCACCAGTTCCTCAACACCCCATTGCAGGATCCAGTTGTGTGGAATGCAACATGCAAGAACAAGCTTAACCTAGGTAGGATAAGGGTGGAATGGCTTCTGATCCAATATCTTGAATATGTTCTTGAGAGCTCCAAATGCCCTCTCAACCGTTACTTGAAGGCTGGAGTGTCTGAGATTGAACAACTCCCGTGGAGTCCTAGGGTAGTTCCTACCAGAGAACTTGTTCAGATGGTACCTGGTCTTCCTGAAGGGTGGAAGAACACCTGGCCAACATGCAAAGCCGGCATATCTGAGGTAGAACTTGCCATCGGGGATGTTGATGCCATCAGGACGACTGATGTTGTCACTCAGTATGTTAGCATCATGTGTTGACCCTTCCTAGCCAGCCAGCACATAGGTGAACTTCAGATCAAAGTCAACAGCAGCAAGCACATTCTGGCTTGTGTAATGCTTCCCCCCTGAATGCAGCAGCTTGTGACCTCGACACTCTGCCACTAACATGAGTACCATCTATTGCCCCAATGCAATCCTGAAATGGCAATACAAGATTGTGTTAGCGCTCACCTTGAACTACCCAAGCATGTCAAGCAATGAACTACATATTGCAGTGCTCATCTTGAAGTATGGATACCATCTTGGGCTTGTGCGAATCTTGGTAGGAGTCCAGCCAGTTGGTGACTTGATCATCTCTCCTCTGAGCTCCCCAACAGCATACAACACTTGCTTGAAGTGCCTTGAGATGGTCTCCATTGACCTCCTGAACGTGTTGTGGATAACCATGAACCTCTGGTTATGGCCAACAATATGAAGGAACATGGCGACTTGCTCTTCCACACTGGAGTGGATGCTATCTTCTAGAAGCCACATGGTCCTGAAGGTCTGAACAAGTCTGGCAAGTGGTGCTTTTTTCATTCTAAGCATGCATCAACAGAGCCTCTGTGTCATTGCAGTTGTATATGTAGTTCAGATTGGCGATCCTCTCCTACTCCCGCATAAGCATTGGATCATATCTGATGACAGGTCTCTCAGCACGACGAACATCTCTCTTGTCCATGAACATGACCCATGCCTGAATCACTGCTACCAGTGCTCCCGCCTGAAGTACCAGCCACATCCGCGCGTCCATAACCTAGTCCATATCGAGGGTGCGTTGAGCAATGGGGAAATCGATCCTACACCTTGTCTAACGGCCTAACAACACACCTAATTTAGGGGATAGGAGATGTTGCTTACCGGCATCGAAGACGATGACGGGGAAGGGGGGCATGGCAGAGTGAAGGACGACCGGGCGACGGCCAAATGGAAGAGCAGCAACAGCTCCTACTGTTGGATCTGCCGGCACCGCTTGCACAGATCTGAGTCACCGCTCGCCGGTGGTGGTGGGGCTAGAGGAAGTGGTTGTCCTAGAGGTAGTGGTGACCGAGTAAATGGGTGGGGGTGGTGAGCCTAGATTTGGCATCGTGACGCCGCGCCCGATTTCCGTCTTCCGCCATCCCCACTCGCTTTTAGCCTGCCACCCCCCTCCCCCCGCGTGCGAGCTTGCGCCGCCCTCAGCCTGACTCGCTAGAAACTGCCGATTCGGTAACTTCTAGCGGGCCAGGCCGGGGGCTGCTTTAAACTTCGTGCGGATGCGAGCCAGCCCACTATGTGCGCAACCAAACGCACATTTCATGTCTCAACTTGGGCTGGTTGCGATTTCGTGGGCAACCAAATGCGCCCTAAGGTATGATTATTTGTTTCCCCCTACACAACTTCTCCTCCTACATTTGTTTTCATGACAGCCTCTCTCTTTCACCGGAGCCTCAACCCTCCATGCATTGTTGTTCCAGGTCCTTTTCTTCTTCCTTTTGTGGTGGTTGTCGCCACGATGTTCAACCCTTACACACATCATTTGCTTCCCCTCCCCCTCTATCCCTCTTCGCCTTTCTCAATTGCCCTTCTCTTTTTTCTCGTTCGTGTCGTGTCTAAGTCATTGTCAGGCGAATGATTCCAACTAAGCTTGAACTGGGGGGACTTCTAAGCCTGCACGTGCTTTAATCGCACTTGTAGCACTGATAGCAAATCGGCATGGCTTTGTTTGCACTTGTAACACTGATAGCAAATCGGCATGGTCAATCGAGGGCGTTGATGCGCCATTCAACGGCTCACGCATCGTGCAGCACAAGAAAAAAGAGGCGTCACTTGCCGAAGCTACCCGCTTCAGTCCCGAGCTCTCGGACCCAGATGGCATCCACCTCGCCGGAACCCGCAGCGACCGAGACCGGCGACTCTGTCAAAATCCGCCGCCTAGAGATCGCCGACCGCGAGAGGGGCTTCCTATCCCTGCTCTCCCAGCTCTCCTCCTGCCCGGACCTCACCGAGTCCGAGTTCGCCGCGTGCTTCGCCGACCTCGCGGCCCTCGGCGACGACCACGTCATCCTCGTGGCCGAGGACCCCGCCGCGGCTCCGGAGCGGCGGATCCTCTCCACGGGGTGCCTCTTCGTGGAGCGCAAGTTCCTCCGCGGCGGCGGCAAGGTGGGGCACGTGGAGGACGTTGTGGTCGACGCCGCCGCGCGCGGCCGGGGGCTCGGGCTCCGCGTCGTGCGCCGCCTCGTGGAGATCGCGAAGGAGGCCGGCTGCTACAAGGTCATCCTGGACTGCACCCCGGAGCTGCGCGCCTACTACGCCAAATGCGGCTTCGTGGAGAAGGGGGTTCAGATGGCCGTGTACTTCTGATCCATCCATGGGGTAATGCGCAACAGAGACTGCATTTCTTTGTCCCGTCGCATCTACAGTATCCCTTTGTCTGTGGCAATCTGTTATCATATCATTATTCTGAACTTGTCTGTGTTAGTGACTGAGAATGCTATTTATGGAATCCCAACTTTCTGATGTGGCTGTATGGCTTTGGCCTGTTTCTGCTGCGTTCATAAACCGTGCTATATTGTCTTGGTTAAATAACAGCGATAATTCTGTCGCTACTATAATGTTTCAAATATCGGCCAGTTAATCGGCATCTCGGTCAGTTAATTGCCACTCAGGTGGGTCACCGAATAGCCGATAGTAACTGATTTATCAGCCGATTAACTGCTGATTCGCCTATTTATCCCTACTCAGCACCTGAACGATATGGTACCAGTTACCGATATCCTGAACATTGCCTACTAGTGTAAATCTTGAAAGTTACTACTCCCTCTGTTCACTTTTATAAGTGTACAGTGATTGTTGCTGAAAGAACTTTTGGTACCGAGGCTCTTCAGGTTTCACTTTTAGAGATTGGCCAACTGATGCCCCGTGTAAATATTCAACATGCATCACCCTATGATTTGAGACATTTTGTGGAGTGCATGCTATTATGGTTCTACGCAGCTGGGTGACACTGCTAGGGACCTGGAGACGGTATCAAGATTGCCTGTGCATTTGCAGGAACATGATAAGTAGCAATTACTGGTTGATGATGACTTGTCAGAAACTTATGGGTTTGGTTTCTGGAATGCTTATTGGCTTAAATTTTCACTTCCATTTTCTGCTGGTGATATGTGACTCAGCGAGTACTATCCTCCACTCAGGACCCAACCACAGTTTGATTTTGCTAAATTGGTACCCAACACATTACAACTTACAAGCCAGTTCAACACCTTCAGCATTCGGCACTTGTAAAAGGTTACTGGAAACCAATTTGTTAATCATCACATGAAGAGTTATTATCTTCACAAGGTTATTGGAAACTAATTTCTATTGTGGGTATTTTCTAATCACTTTTCCCACTATAGGTTGTTTGGAAATATAAATCTTGCAATATAACCTTCTAGTTTGCTTTACCCCAACTTTATTGGTCCCGATAAAAATAATTATGTTGTTTCAATTGTTATTTGGTTTCCAAGTCGACTCAATTTGGAGTTAACAGGGTCAATGTAGCGGTCACATCAGATACGATTGTTCCACCTTCTAGTTTTGTTGAATAAGAATCTGCAACATTTGCTTCCATATTGGCATCCAGTACTCTATTTTTGAAAATCCTGCTCTGTGTATAAAAAATAATGTTAGTTTTGTTTGTACTTGATCATTTGGTGTTTGATTACATGTGCTGAAATACTTTCGAGATCTTATACATAACTTCATCTTCTTGTCACAGGTAATTCAGCTAATAGTCGATCCATCAAAGTTGATATATGTCCTTGGGGTCCATTCTGAAGAAATTAGTACTGTCATGGGGTACAGCTCTTAACCTGGCTGATTTTCCAGTACCACAATGGACCATTGAGAAGCTTCCTTGGAGCTAAATTCTTTTCCAGAAAATACATACTTCTATCACGGGCTGGTACTGCTGAGCTCTCCTCATTCCCCTCCATTCGAATTGGATGTTATACCACGCACGTTAGATGCTATACCAAACAATGGCTCCAGATTAACATGCCGGCTAGTTTACCGAGCTCGATATGATTACCACTCTTTGTAGACTCATTTGCTTACGACGGTATAACTCGACGATAGTGTGAAGCCACAAAGGTTCTCTTTGTGGACTTTATTAATCATTAGGCATATTATAATCTGCCACACGGGAATTCTCAAGATCATCTAGGAAGGATTCTAGCCAGACCATGGTTCTAGCATGAAGCCTCCCAAAGGAAGCTAGAAGCTCATCCAAACATGAGTGTTTCTGTCTTCTGTTGGGGTGTTAAAAAGACAGTGTAGTTTGCTGGCTGTTCGATTCCGTTTGTTTCAGTTCCTGGATTATCGAAGAAGACATGGGGTGGCTGTTTTAGTTTATTTTTGCATGATGTTTGTAGTCATAACCTCAGAGGCGTATCCGATGATTGAAACAAGGGGGGTTTACAGTTTCTTAATGAATGAATTGACGGGAAGATGAGTACGGTTTCTGAATGAATGGATTGACAGGAAGATGATCGCTCTCTGCATGACCACAATTGTACCATGGCTCTCTACATATTTTTGCATGATGTTTGTAGTCATAACCTCAGAGGTGTTAACATGGGAAGCTGGGGGCTTCAGCTTTTGCTTTCAACTGTTGCGCCCCAGGGGAATGTAAGCTCCTGACGTAATGGTTTGATCATCAGAATTTGTTCAAAAACTGTTTAGAGCAAAGTGAACGAGACAATGGACATGGTGTGAAAGCGAGCAGTTTGTTATCTTTATTGATGACTGACGATGTGATTACATATACTATATATAGAAGCCATTAGAGAGGTATCTATACATACGCCTGTCCGGTTAACCGAAGCAACAGTTGCCAAAGGAACTGCAAGCAGAGTCCGCTTCCGTTAGGCCAAATGGGGCTTGCAGGACCATTTACAGAAATACACGATGTTTACCAGGCGCATATCTCAACTCATTGCCACAACTGAGTTCCTCATTAAGAGCTACGATCAAGAATCCTCCGATGAACAAAGCCTAGGGAGTTCCTAGCAAGGAATTCACGTCTCAAAGGTAATATCACTACAAAACAGGCCAATCACAAGGAATGACGGACGCCCAGAGTCAAAAGTCAAAACTTCAAGCACTTGAACAAAATATCCAACGTCTCAAATCTTCTATCAAGAAGTCATGGAACATCATGAACAGTAGATAACAATAAGCTAAAGCAAGACTTCCCAATATGCTCTCAGCAGATATGTATTAAATTCTAACTGATTGAAACAACAGACAGGGGGTTTAGTCCTCATCCTCCACAACCTTGGTACCCAAACCTTTAAGACCTTCCTGGGGGACTTCAGCAACTGTGACCAGAGAGTACAGCTCCTCCTTAGCGTCCTCCTCGTCGTTCCTCTTGCGGGCAATCCTGACACGGACTCTCCTCGGGACACTCCTGATGCCGCTGCTCCAGATGTGCTTGTTGAGCTTCACGTCAATGCGGACATCGTTGGTTCCCATGGCCTTCTGTGCAAACTTCCTGATCTCCTTGATGGCATTTGGTGCCTTCTTCTTGAAGGTGCTGTTCAATAGAATGAAGCTACAATTAGTGACTGATACAAATAGAGGATTTTGTAAACCACAAAGAGAGCATGAGAAAGATAGATGGAACATTACAACACAAGCAATGTAAAAATGTAATATATAAAACACAAACAAGACAAAGCAAATGTGGAGAAAATATAGTTCATCTGAATGTAGTGCCCAAATGGAACACATGACAGCATATGAAGGCAGCAAGTGTAACGATGAGCAGCATCTATGTACCGGGCATGTAACTGTATCAACCACAAGATTTGAAGACAGATACCTGACTATGACCGGGCATAATGGACTAGCTATAAGATAAAATGACAATCTAGTTTCAATGTAGAGCCCATATGTAACACATGACAGCATATGAAGGCAGCAAGTGCAACGATGAGCAACATCTATGTACCGGGCTTGTAACTGTATCAACCACTAGATTTATAGACAGATACCTGACTATGACCGGGCATAATGGACAAGCTAAGATCAAATGACAAAATCTAGTTTCAATGTAGAGCCCAAATGGAACACGTGGTAGCATTTGATGGCAACACATGTAACGATGAGCAACATCTATTTACCGGGCATGTAACTGTATCAACCACAATTTTAAGACAGATACCTGACTATGACCGGACATAATAGGCAGATTATATAGTCAAATAGATAATAATGTGCAGTTTTAATGTAGCGCCCAAATGGAACACGTGAAAGCATATGGAGGCAACACATGTAACGATGAGCAACATCGATGTCCCGGACAAGTAACTGTATCAGCCACAATTTCAAGACAGATACCTGACTATGTCCGGGTACAACTGATCAATAAACTTAATAGATGAACAAACAGTTAGAGAGCAGAAACAACAAACAATATCATTCCGAAATATACAGCCCAAATGGAACACATAGTAGCACTGAGTGAAGCCATACGTGTAACGATGAGCAGACTTAAATCTCTCGAGCATGTAACTGTGCACAGCCACATGATTTAGAAGGCAGACACCTGACTATACCCGATTAACACCTAATCGAATGGTACAGATCGAAGATCCATATGAAAAAATGTGGGATCAGATACAAGAGCAGAATCCAAGAGATCGAGATACCGCTCGGTCATGCGATCCCCACTATCATCTAGCTGGAAGGATTTCGATCCATACAGGTGTAACAGCCATTCACGAGCCCACATAGTGCTCGCAGGCAGCAACCTTTCGCACCAGCAAATCCACTAGGCGAGCCCGTAAGCGCCATGGGGACACCCCGTGAAGCGCGGAGGTGGAATCTGACTAGCGGATCTACCGGGAGCGCGGAGCTCGGGAATTGAGGGGATGGGCGAGGAGGGAGGATTATACCATCCATGGAGGCGCTTGTGGAGGTTGACAGTGTACTCGCGGGTCACCACCTCGTCCTTGCGCGGGCCGGGGGCGCGCTTCTTCTCCGACATCGCCGACGGCCTCCTTTCGCCCTGCTCCTCTCTTGGCTTCGATGGAGGCTGCGGCGAGAGGAGATAAACCCTAGTGGGAAGGGCAGGTCGCAAGGGGTCGTGGCTTTATAGCGGTGGAAATTAGGGCTTGCTGGCTGACTGGGCCTCTCCGGGATGTTTCGTGACGGCCCGTTTAACTAGGCCCTTCGTCCATTTGTTATGTTTTTCTCTCTCTCTTTGTAGGTGAATCTGTTATGAAATTGGAGTGTGTTTGGTTTTGGGCCCAAGCGAATTCCACCAAAAACTTTGTTGCTAGTAGTTTGATTAATGTTTGCCTCCACATAATTTAGCGAATTCTGGCTGGAAAAATGGAGTAACGTTGACCAAGGAGCATAGTCACATCAGGGGAAAAAATCTAAGCAAAAGCAAAGATTTAGGTCATGGCCAAAAATGGGTACGACTGAATTGTTAATTATTTCGACACACTAGGTAAACTTTGTTCTCCCTAATAAACAAGATTTCGGAGGATAGCATTGGCAATCAAGAGGAAGCAAATCGTCCAATTTGCTATTATTCTTCTTTATTTATTTTTTGGAGCAACCAGACTAAGAGCATCTCTCGCCGACCGCGCAAACCGGTTCATAATAATAGTTGATACTGTGGACGGGTGCCGATTTTCCATCCCGAACAGATCCTGTAAAATCACTCGTCCGCTATTTTTTGGGGGATCCTGCATAGTTCGGGACGAATCCGCTATATCTATCGGATCCCTCCCTCTTTTTGCAGGGTCCTGCAAAACAAAAAAACGGTTGGCGGGAGGGAACTTTCAGCTCTCGCCACGGACTTTCGGTCGCCGTCCGCGAGCCGATCAAGCTGCCGCCGTACTCGAAAATGTTTCCCATACCATGTGGTCACTTGATTCCTTTCGGTACATCTTGTACGCTTTGTGTGTTGATCAACTTGATTCACTCTTTGACTTAGTCTTGAACAACCTTGTATTATGTCTTCTCTATGACCAATCTTTGGATAATTCCTTAAATAACACCTTCGTCAACACATAAACTCCTTTGAAAGTGCAACTAATCCCTGGGTGGTTTTGATAATTCATAACAACATATAGCTCATTGAACTAATATCCATTCAAGTTAAATATTTTAGAAAGTTCAATGATTGGCATGGCATGGATTAGAGATGTGGACCCCTCAAAATGCTATGGACAAAGATTGGCAAAAGCTCAAGACTTTTCATTTCTATTTTAGTGATCCAAGATCACATTGAGTTCATAGGAAAGCCAATACTATTAAAAGGAGACGAGGTGTTGCTTAATGGTCTACTTGCTCAAAGTGCTTAGTGGTATTGCTCCAAAACCCTCAGCCACTTTCTCATTTCCACATATGTCCAAAACTCAAAAAGTCAAACTCGGCCCCACTGATTTCACCTATTCGGCGCCACCGAGTTCATTTGACATAGCCACTCCCAAAAACCCTAGGCAATTCGATCGCACCGATACGGATCTCGGTCTCACCGAGATAGCCCTGCAAACTCTCTGTTGCCTGTTGTAATCATTTCGGTCTCACCGAAATGTGCAATCGGTCCCACCGAGTTTGCTTGACCAACTCTCTGTTTGCTCTTTGTTGAAATCGGTCTCATCGAGTTCAAGCAATCGGTCTCATCGAGATGAGATTTTGCCATAGCCCTAGCACATCGCTCCCACCGAGTTCTTCCAGTCGGTCCCACCGAGATTCCTAACATTCATATTTGAACTGAATCTATCTCATCGAGTTCTTCTATTCGGTCTGACCGAGTTGGGTCAAATGTGTGTAACGGTTGGATTTTGTGTGGAGGCTATATATACCCCTCCGCCGCCTTCTCCATTTGAGATAGAGCCATCAGAACGTGCCTACACTTCCACTACTCATTTTCTGAGAGAGAACCACTTGCTCATGTGTTGATACCAAGACATTCCAATCCATCCACAAGAATCTTGATCTCTAGCCTTCCCCAAGTTGCTTTCCACTCAAATCATCTTTCCACCATAGCCAAATCTGTGAGAGAGAGTTGAGTGTTGGGGGGATTATCATTTGAAGCACAATAGCAAGGAGTTCATCATCAACACACCATCTATTACATTTTGGAGAGTGGTGTCTCCTAGATTGGTTAGGTGTCACTTGGGATCCTCCGACAAGATTGTAGGGTTGAACCAAGAAGTTTGTAAGAGCAAGGAGATCGCCTACTTCGTGAAGATCTACCAGAGTGAGGCAAGTCCTTCGTGGGCGATGGCCATGGTGGGATAGACAAGGTTGCTTCTTCGTGGATCCTTCGTGGGTGGAGCCCTCCGTGGACTCGCGCAACCGTCACCCTTCGTGGGTTGAAGTCTCCATCAACGTGGATGTACGATAGCATCACCTATCAGAACCATGCCAAAAATCTACGTGTCTACATTGTGTTTGCCTTCTCCAAACCCTTCCCTTTACCTTCATATGCAATGTTATTATTTCCGCTGCTACACTCTTAGAATTGCATGTGTAGGTTGATTGCTTGACTTGTACTAGTTGCTAAAATCTACCAACACTTAAAATTGGAAAAAAGGTTAGATTTTTATTTGGTCAAGTAGTCTAATCACCTCGCCCCCTCTAGACCTACTTTTGATCCTACAAGTGGTATCAGAGCTTTGGTCTTCATTTGCCTTGATTTCCATAGCTTTGGTGATCGTAGCCTTGGTTTCACAACCTAGGAGAGTATGGCGTCTAGCGAGGGAAATTACCATCGTAGAGCTCCTTACTTTGATGGTACTAATTTTGCTAGTTGGAAGCATAAGATAAAAATGCATATCCTTGGTCATAATTAACCCTGCCATTTGGGCTACTGTGCATATTGGTTTGCAAGGTGAATACTTCGAGGATGGAAGAGATCCGGATCATGAAACATTCATGGAAGAATTGAAGATGTTGCGATACAATGCTCAAGCTTGCGATATTCTCTTCAACGGATTGTGCCCCGAAGAATTCAACAAAATCAGTCGCCTTGAGAATGCAAAGGAAATTTGGGATACTTTGGTTGATATGCACGAAGGTACCGAGTCCGTCAAGGAATCCAAATTTGATGTGCTTCAAAGTCAACTTGACAAGTTCAAGATGAAGGATGGTGAAGGAGTCGCTGAGATGTACTCTAGGCTTGCTCTCATCACAAATGAGATTGTCGGCTTAGGAAGCGAAGAGATGACCGACAAATTCATCATCAAGAAGATCCTAAGAGCCTTGGATGGAAAATATGATATTGTGTGCACCTTGATCCAAATGATGCCCAACTACAAAGATCTTAGGCCAACGGAAGTCATTGGTAGAATTGTTGCTCATGAGATGTCACTCAAGGATAAGGAAGAGCTCCACAACAAGTCAAGTGGTGCTTATAAAGCTTCATGTGATATTCCTACAAAATCAAGTGAGAAACAAGTCTTCAATGAATAATTGAGCTTAATGGTGAAGAACTTCAACAAATTCTACAAGAATAGAAGCAAAGAGAGAAGTTCCAAGTCAAGATCCTACAATGACAAAAGATCTTCTAGTCATGATCGTAATTGCTACAACTATGGAAGACTCGGACACTACTCCAATGAGTGTACGGCTCCCTACAAGAGAATAGAAGATTCACCTAAGAGGAGAAGTAAAAGAGATGAATCACCACCAAGAGAGAGAAGGAGTAGAGATAATCGTTATGAACGAAGACCCTCTCGTAGAAGCAAGGAATCAGAAAGGAAGGACAAGTCATCAAAGAGCTACACAAGACGAAGACATCAAGCTCGCGTTGGTGAATGGGTATCAGGTTCTGACTCCGACAACTACTGAGAAGTTATCACTCCGACTTCGAATATACTCAAGATGAAGGTGTTGCCGGTCTTGCACTTGTGTCATCCAACTCCTACGACATATTTGACTCGCCAAATGAAGGAATTGGAAGATGCTTCATGGGTAAAGTCCCTAAGGTATCACAACCCGGGTATGTTGATTTCAATAATGATGAAGATGATTTGCTAGGTGATGATGATTTACTTGTTGACAACACTAGTGATGAAAACTATGATGAATTTGCTATTAATCATGCTAATCAAGATGAAACGAATGACAATGATAAGAAGAAGATTGAGCGTCTAACTAAAGAACTAAGCACTCTTAAGTTAGCTCATGAAACAACTCTAGAGGATCATCGAGAGCTTCTAAGGACTCATGAGAAGCTACGCTTTGAGAAGCTAAAATTAGAGCAAGAGCATGGGTTCTTAAAAGCAATCAAGATGATCTTCGAAACAAAAGCTCTTTTTACATTGCCAAGCATTTACTTTTGTCTATGTATGTGCCACAAGTAAAATCTACCAACAAGAGCAAGAAAGATTCTTCTTCTAGTAGTAACAATAATCATGTTAAATCCAATATTGTTGCTTCTAGTAGTTCTCTTGATTCCACTAATGATTCTCTTAGCCAAGTTACACTTGAGCAAGAAAATAGCTTATTGAAGGGAATTATAGAGAAAGGTGTTTACAAGAGCCTTGCCGGAAGTAAGCAATTTGAGGAAATTGTACTCAAGGAAGGAAGGCACCGGAAGAATCAAGGTGTTGGTTTTGAATGAAAGTTAAATGCCAATGGAGTTGAGTGGGAAGAAGATCAATACCCCAAGACAAAGTTTGTTCCTCAACAAGAGAAGTATGACCTCACTTCTTTCAAAGGAACACAAGCTCAAGATGATCTTCCATCACAAGACCACAAGCTAAAAGGCAAGGACAAGCTTCAAGAAGAGATTGACTCATTTTAAGAAGCTCCTAAGGCCATGGCCAAGTGGGTTCCCAAGACTACATCAAGTTCTACTTCATCAAGTACGACTACAAACTCCAAGGATTCCCATCAAGTCGATGTGGATCCCAAAGACGAAGAACTAGAGAGTTCTTGAGGGTGGCTCCGCCGACATACTTCACTCGTATTCATTTTGACAAGGACAAGTGCAATCAACTTCCATATCTTGCACTAGTTCAT